AATCTTCTTTCATAAATATTGGAAACTGTATGGGGCATTTCTACCATGTCCTATAGGGTCGTCATGAGTTGGAATCGATTTGCTGAGAATAGGTAAGAACCAAAATAAAAACAAAAATGCCCCCCAAAGCCCATCCCTGCAAATTTTTCTCCTCTCCTTGAGAATTGCGATACCTTTGTACATGTTCTGATCTGCAATAGGACTGATAACGCTTCAAAGTCTGTTTCAAGTGCTTCTGAGTCCGAAAGTCTCGACAGTTCTAAAAAGAATGACATTACCCTTTTAAAATGCCATTGTACCACAAGGGGGGAGGGGGTGCTCTGTGCATATATTGCTATCTAAACTTCTTGATGAAGATATAAGGTAAAAAGCCAGTTATAATTTAATAGATATTTTCTCTGTCATTTGCATTTCTAATATCATATTTTCCCCCCTTTTTGGAGAAATCAGCCAAGAAAGCATAGATCAATACATTACAGGTCTGTCTGTCTTTCTGTCAAATGCTCAGCAGCATAGTTCTAGAGGGCCACAGAGGGTGACCCTGGGGTAGAAAGGTTTGGTTACAAAGGCCACCTTTCATTAGTCTGAACAGATAGCCACAGGGCAATGTGAACTGTCCACAACTGGATTTTATCACACTTAAATTCCCTCCGATGTACACATATTACAAAGAAAGCAATTTTTAAAAAAACACAGAAAACCAACTCAAGCTTTTTTCTTCTTTTGGTTACTTACTTCTTGAATGAAGACAAAAACAAAATGAGTAGATGAAAGAGGAACCAACTAATCCCTTAAAGCATGCATTAAAATATTGTTTACAATGTACGTGCCTCTCAAGAAACATGTCTTTTAAAAAAATAACGAGTTGAATCATGTAGCCAAAAGACACATGACATGATTTTTGAATAAGGTGTTCTTCCTGAGAGCTGAGGTTGTCTAGGGCTTGCATCCACAGAGATACTCTGTGCAAAACAGAAAAACACAGCTGGGACACTGAGGAATCCCTTCCAGGATCCACAGAGCAAGTCCGATTGTTTACTTCCAGTATTACAAAGCTAATAGATCCCACCTGCAGCATGCTGGACAAGACATCCCTTTTCCTTCCCTTTTCCTGACATGCTGAACCCCTATCTTCAACCTTTTCTTTTTATGTTCTTTCTCTTTCATTTGGGATATCAACCTATCTGTATCCTGCCTTCAGCTGATTTCATTAGTTTGGTGGACTTTACCATGATGTCATTAGGATTTCATGTCTTTATTCTTTAAGCTTTTAGAGTAAAAAGGAAAGCTCTGAGTATGTGATGGCTCTGGGTGGAGATCATGCAGTCAGAGTGTTGTCCCCCCCTCCCCCCATCTCCCCCAGTCGCCCCCGGTTCCTGCGGTGGCACACAGCCTCTCTGGGCCCATGAGCAATCTGTCTGTAATAAGTGACAGATTCTGCCTCCTATAAAGGAAAAGGCTGGAGGAGAGCAGCCAGACTCAATACAATAGCAGGGCAGGTGCTCTGGTCAGATTCTGTTCTACCAGGAAACGCTTCTGGAATGCATGACCAATTTAGTTTCAGAACAGAATACTCCCTTTAATAGACAGAAAACACTAACCTTTTATTTTTCCTCTTCCCTTCCCTCAGACCCCCACTCTACCGACTCCCCAGTTTCAACATGCCCCCTTTTCACTTTAACCCTTTCAAAGGATAAAGGGCCAGACTCTGATCTTCACACATCCATCCATCTATATATTGCTTTGCTTACAATCCAGGAAGATGCATTCATTAGCAAAGGAAACAGATATGCTCCCGGCTGGGGCTGGAATAATGAGGATGTGAATAAAGGGAAGTTTACTAACTTGGTAAGCCAAAACTACTAAAATGTCAAGTTACACTCTTTCCTTCAAATTCTCATACTTAAACAACTTAATACTTTCAGAGAATTTCTGGGAAATTGAATTTAAATACTACAGATGAAATTATCATAGCTGCATTAACTTACTCATATCCTTTTAGAGACCCTTGTATCCATCCATTTAAGTGAAATCCAAGACTCTATTTGAAGAGGTTGTAGAGTTTGGTCACTTCTGCATGATATTGATTGAATGAGCTAGTAAATCATACTGTTATCACCATTACTGTGGGCATTGCTCACCTACATTTATATGGGAGCGCCAAAAGTTTTATGGAAAATTACACTATCTTTCAATTCCACTTTTCCACAAACTTTCTGAAGGTGGTATAACTGAATTGTATGTTGTTGAATGTACTGGTTTTCCTATACACAAAGAAAGTAGCTAACTTTGGGGAAAGTAATTATCTAATATTTCAATTAAACCCTACATATGCATACCCTTACTCTATTAACAAAGGGAAATTTGAGCAGTATTTGAAACACAGCAAAAAAAGAGTAACATATATTAGCAGCAATAAGGGTTTCCCCTTAGAGAGTTGTTGTAACTTATCTTTGAAGTTAAGATCATTTATCATGGGGAGAATAGACCCCAAAAAGTACAGCAGCCACAGCATCCTGCCTGAGGCAGAGTTAGAGATTTCCAATAGCTGCTGTAAAGAAACATTTTGAAAATGCGCTCACTACTGCACCAATAAATCTTAAAACAGAAGAAGAGTTTTAATTACAGAGGATGGCAAAGTCAAAAGATTTTTTCAAATGAACCCAAAAGTATGACTTGAGAGATTTGCTCCTCACTCCATGCTACCCAAACATTGATAAATGTATATGTCTTCTTCTTCTTCTGGGAACAATAGTTTTATTTTTAAGCAGAGTTCCTGGAGGATATATTTACTTGTAACAGAGGAGCAAGAGAAACAATAGAAGTGAAATATAGCAAGCCAATCTATATGCATGTATGAGGAGCAAAGAATATGATAGGTGCTCCGTGCATTCTTTGGGGGCATAAAGCAGATTGTATATAGGAGAGAACGTGTTATGCATGTGTATGGAGTTTCCTTGCTTGAAAATATGGACATGCATTCCTATGTGGCTTGATTCTTAGTGGTCTGCTCCTTTAAAGGAAAGAAAAATTATTAGTGTCATTTGTGTCTTAGAACTAAAACTGAACTACTTTATTTTGTAAAGAGAGAAATAAGGCTAATGAAATTAGGGATTGTTTAAATCAGAGGAAATTAAAATGCACACATTTCTTTTCCTGAGATCTGCAATTGTATTCAACGTTCGCAGTACAACGCCTGCCTGTAGGATAAATAATTTAATGGGTTTTGTGATTTGGTACTAAAAGCATAACAAAATCCTACAGCTGTAGCCTCATTTTTCTCCACACTCAAACTGTTCCCTTCTTAAATTGCATATTTTGTACAGTGTTTGTGTGTGTGTGTGTATGCTGTTTTTTCTTTTCTTTTTTTTAAGAGTACAAAGTAGGTTCTATATCTTTGAGAACCAATTTCTGACATAATAGGTAATTGCACGTAATTACAGGAGTTTCAGACTGAAGCAAGAAAACAATAAAACAGAATGCCTCCCTACTCCAGCCATTTTTTCTTCTTAAAAATTGGAATTAAATTGCTATCTTATTTTATTCAAGTTTGTCTCCCCTTTATTATTACAATTAATATATGCTGAAATAACAAAAAAATGAAAACCACTTCTGGTTTCTAGTTATCCATTGTCAATATAGTATTTTGATTATTCAAACATGAGAACAGGTTTTTAGATCTTTCCTTCATTTTTATGTACCATTACACATATTATCACTACAAGAAAATGTGGTCAGCTTAAGGGTTTTTAATCACATGGACCACATTTTTTAACACCTTCACATTTTCCCTATTCACACAGGGTTCTCTTTTTTACTGCTCATCATTAATCCTCACCCACCCAGAATAACAATAAGGACCCCAAGAAAATTTAGTTTCTGTGACCCAAGATAGAGTATATCAAACTTTCAGAAGAGGAAATGAGAGAAAAGTTAAATAGTGAGTAGTTGAATACTCTCTTTTCTCACCTTCTACATTTCCTTGGGGTAAACATGATTGAAGTAGGGTTGGGACCTAGAACAAAAGTAAATCCTTGCTTCAAGACCTTTGTGGGATTGAGTTTCACAGTTGGAAATCAGAGATTTTGGGTTTTCAGCTTGTTTATGATTGTTGTTGTTGTGAAGTGCCATCCAGTCAATTCCGACCCATAGTGATCCTGTATAGGGTTTCCGAGGAGCAGCTGGTGAACTTGAACCTCCAACCTTGTAGTTCAAACAGCTTTGCAGTCTGGTGCATTAACCCACAGCACCACACCAGGACTCCCTTGTTTATGGTAGACTAACCCCTCAAAATTGAAATGTATTCCATTGATTTTGACCCATATTAACTCTATAGAAGGGGTTCTTGAGTGGCGCTGTAGGATAATCACCGGATTGACAACCACAAATCACTCTTGGAAACCCTATGCAGAGTCGCTATGAGTCAGAACTAGTTTAATGGCACTTAACAACAATAAGGAGCTCTGGTAGTGTAGTGGTTAGGAATTGGGCTGCTAACCTCAAGGTCGGCAGTTCGAAACTAACAGTGGTTCTTCAGGAGAAAGATGTGCAGGGTCACTATGAGTCGGTACCAACTCCACGGTACTTAACAGCAACTCTAGGACAGAGTAGAAATACTCCAGAGGGTTCCAAGGTTGTAAATCTTTATGGAGGCAGACTGTCTCTTGTGGAATAGGTGGTGAGCTAAAACAGCTGTCCTTTAGGTTAGCAGTCCAATGCTTAACCCATGATGTCACGAGGGCTCCCTATGATAGACTAGCTCCCTAAGGTAGACTAGAAAGACTAGTCTTTCTGCTGTCTATCCTAACAATGGACACAGGAAGAAAGTTTCAACAACTTTCTACCATCTCTCCCAATTGCTCCACCTTAAAAATAAACAGGCCTAGGCCCTTTCTTTTCACCTCCACCTACTAAGGTACTATCCTCACTGGCCCTGTGTCCCAGCTCCCTGGGTGTCTGCCCCATGCCTCCTGGCCAAGACACCAACAGACCTCACAAAAATGTCATGTCAAATGGAACATGCCATGGAAAAGATGATATTCATGTTTCACAAATTTGCTGGGGATAAATGCTACTTAACGAATGAGGACCTAAGGGTGCTCATGAAAAAGCAATTCTCTGGATTTTTGGAAAATCAAAAAGATCCTTTGACCATGGACAAAATCATGAAGGATCTGGACCAGAGCCGAGATGGCAAAGTGGGCTTCCAGAGTTTTCTTTTGCTCACTGCTAGGCTCACCATTGCATGCATTGACTATTTTATAGTACATATGAACCAGAAGAGAAAGAAGCAGAAGTAGGCAGAGTTGAAAAATCACTCCCACCCTGATAAAAGTTATCCCAAGAGCTACTTAAGGAATCTGTCTCACAGTTTTCCCCTGTGTAAAGATTTCATGAGCAGATCCGGACCCGTAAGAATGTGTACAAAAAAAAACCAACTCCCACTTGACAAGTAGAGAAAGAAAAGTCAATTCAACACCAAATAAGCTTTTGATTTTTATATTGTTTGTACCCTCTTGCCCTCAATAAAAATTCCTTTTTTAATACCTAAAATAAAAAATAAATAGGCCTCGTTCAGTGAGTACACAAATACAGGCCAGATTGTCTTTTATGTTACGGCCATAACAGCCACCATGTGAGTTACAAACTAGCTACTGAGCAGATTCCAGGAGTAAGAAGTGAGGAAGGGGATTTATCTCTAGCACTGGATGAATGGTTTGCTTGTTATTATGCCTGATTCAATTCTTTCTTTCTTCCTATGACACTGAACTATCACTCAATGATGATAAAAAATAAATAAGGTACAAATCAGAGGTGTGCAGGCATATTTTTCTTAAATTTCAGGCTTAAAAACTCAAGCAAGAGGCTGAGCCTAATGTTGTTAAGTGAGTCACTTCTGACTAATAGTGACCCTATATAGGGTTTCCAGGAGTCCTCATGTGGTGACATAGGATGAGCACTCAATCTCAAGGTCAGTTTGAATC